TTGGGACATAAGGAGGGACTAGATATCATGTTGCAGAAGCCCTTCTAAGTGATTAATTTATGGTTTGGTGAAAGTTATTGTGACTTAGAGACATCGGAGCAGCTGAGTTATAATGCTTTTCACTGAGAAATTACCAAATTACGTTTTACATAATCCCAAAAAAACGTTCTTTACTTTGTATGTAAAGCACAACTGTTACTGTGGTTCGCTGACATCCTGTTCTTAGTTCCCTCCTTTCCTTCCTCCACCACCCAAGGGTATCATGTTATATGCAACAGTGTTCCCAAGACCAAATCTCTTCCATCTGGTGTTCTTCTAAATGCTCATCAGTCCATGATGAAACACAAGCTCTTCTGAATGCACTTATGAGTTAATTGGCTGAAAGGGCTGGTCCTCATGTAGGAGTATTCTACTTTGTTTGTAGCCCAGCTACATGACCATGGCCCATGGTCATCAAGCCAGTTCCAGTGAAGACTGAGCCCCCAAGCTGACTACAAATGATCCAACAGTTAGGCTAAGATCTCTAGATACTGTGTTTTCAGAGTTGATGAAAATCGATGGGGAAACACAAACCCTTGCTTGTTCCTTCACTGGGAGAAAGGTTATACGATGCATCAAGCTTCTCTGGCACTAGAGGGTCACAGAATCACAGAATCACAGTGGACTCATCAACTCTGAGACACTAATGTAAAATATAAGATGGCTTCCATGCGTTGTGCTGCTCACTGAAAAACAGACTTAGGAGTCTGAGTGTCACGTTAAAGTTAACATAAACCAAATGAAAAGCAATAGCTGAGACAGTGTTCTTGGGAGTACATTGAGAGAAGCTGGAGAGAAGCTTCTTCCTCTTCATCCTGAAAGATTACATTCAGAGCAGCCCCTCAGTTGGGCAATGGTACAGGTCAAGGTCTGCCACGGCCCCAGGGAATGGAACACCCAAGCCCCAGCTAAACATCCTAACCACTGATTTGTAGATACTTCTTAAACTCTTCTGCTCCATGGTGCATTTTGTGTTTATGAATTTAACCAGAAGATCTTTTTCATCACAAGGATTTCCCCACTTCTGAAGCGCTGCCAAATCAGCACTTAAACACGCTCTACAATACGTGCTGCCAACTCATGACACTTACAGCTGCTACCCTGAAGTGCTCATTGTGCTTTGACTTCCTTTTATCGGTGCAGGTTTCTGCCAGTGAATCAGTCTGCTAGTGGAGACAGACCAGGAACTACGGCAGAAGACACAAGCAAGGCAGTTGAAGCAGAGGTAAGTTACTTGTACATATGTGTTCATGGTCTTTTTCTCCATTGCCTGTCTACATAAACACGTTCAATGCTGATTTTCTGTAGCTGCTTGTAAGAATAGACAGCTTTTTGCCTCCCTGATCTGTAAACCTATTGCTATGCATGGAAGTGTGTATTTGCTTTTTAGAAGACAAAGAAGTTTGTCCTGCACAAAAGGAAGAAGAGCAACGGGTTTTTTCCGTTTTGTTTTTTTTTCTCAGTCTGAGAGCAAAAGAATGAAAGACCCCGTATTGCAACCGTGTGTGTAAATTGGACCACCTGCTCTTGTGATTCCATGCATATGTACGTTTGTTAGTGAGTAAGGCAGAAGATTCTCACATGCATTGAGTCACAGTTGCTTCTCTGGTTAGTGTGTGCATGCCTTACAGCTTACATGAAATAAATTTTAGACTGCTTAAAGCATAAGGATAGATGGATTAATTTCTGAAGGGCTTGTATCTTAGTTCTACTAAGATTACTTAGTTTTACTAAATCTTAAATGTGCCTAAAAACTTTCAAGGGCATTTCTCTCTCTGACATTTTTCCTTAGTATGTTCTTTAGCAACATTTTACCAAGCCTGATATTTCCTTATGACTTTCTCTCACTAGAGAAAATTGGCTGTTCATGGCTCCTGTCAAACATTTATTCCTGAAGCTTAAAGGAGCACTGGCCTGCCAAGATTGATATTACTTAGTGCACTGTATCTGATTTAAAAGGCAAATACCTGGAGATCCGTGAGTCATGCCAGCAAAGCCAGGTGATCATAGAGCACACTGAGAAAAGTTTGACCCAACAAGAGGAATAATTTCTCATCTGCATTGCCTCAACTGGTCTTGGTAGTGATTTGAAAACAAGCTGAGGCATTAGCAGAACATTTTCTTCCCAAATGAGATTCCCCATGCAGGGAGAGGGAGGCATATTTTACTCATGTTGTAACAGAGTAAAACAGCAGAAAGCAAAAAAGTGTGTTGTGCTGTACTGAGTTCGTAGTTCTGAGGCTTCCTGTTTTGAAAACAAAAATTAAGAAGTATTTGATTTACAAACGGAATCCAACAGAGTGTGTTTAAATGCCAAGACTAAAGTTTTGGGTGTTTCCAAACTCTGTTTCATTCCAGCTGTCTGATGACTCAGGAGGCTTGACTTCTTTAAATTTGTTTAGTCAAATTTAAATGTTAAATTGAAGATCAGAAAAAGTTGGAACTCCTTCTTCTATGAGAATGTTTAGAGAATGCAAAAATCCCTTGGTTTTTCCTCCCTCACTCCCAAAAATCCTGTTCATCTTCCCCACTACTTGTCAGGGAATATTCTCTTGATCTGCAGCTCCATCTCCCAGTCTAAATAAGCTTCATAGAGCATCATGTCTTGCCATAGAAGATGCTTTATGCTAGAAGCAGACTCCAGAAACATGTGGCTGCATGAGAACCTCTGTTCTTCATTAAAAATTGGATTCTTCACGTGTAGTGGACCTAGCAACGCCTGGTTTCAGAAAGACTTGTTTCCTGAGTCCGCTTAACTTCCTAATGCATGCAGGCAGGTCTCCTGTGAAATATTCTCACAAACCCTGATGCCCAGCCATGGATGCTGTAGCTACTTTGAAGACACATGGACAATGTCTAGTTGGCTGATTCACTCTTGCTGACCACTCAGCTGGTTGCAGAACATACAACAGCTGCCTCCAGCCTGCCTTCCCACCAGTCTGGCACCAACCTTGGTAAATAGTCCCCCGCCAGCAAACAGTTCTCAGGAGCTCCTGTGAACTGCATTATCTTACAGGCTTGTATCTCAGTGCTGAACTTGGCAGATATTTACCAACAACATCAGAAGTTAATTACAGGACAGGCAGAAAGGTGAACTAGCATAAACACACTGCGGTTATAGAAGCATGCCCTCTTCTTCTGAGAAAGCCAAGCCTACAAGAGCAGCAACGTCCCCAGTCATTACTGGTGAGGCAGTCTTAGCCTTACAAGAAGCTGTGATGAGCTGAAGACTTACACTGCATTATGTGTCTCTTTGTTCCCAGAGACCCATTATTGAACATTTAGGTAACCTGTCTGATCTTTGAGGTCTTTATCCACATGGGCGATGGCTGCTACTTTTCTCTTCACAACCCTCACTCTCTCCTCACACATGCAGGCACAATATATGACAACAATTAGATGTATAAGCGCTTTTCCAGAATGTGTAAGCACAGTCCTGAGCTTCATGGATTAATCCTTTTCATACAGTTCTTCACATTGGAAAGGAAAATCCTATCCTACCTACTTGCAGGTCTCTTGTAGGCAAGGAGCACTGAATGCATCAGCACTTCTCTTGCTCTCCAAACACTTGCAACTTGTACTCCCACATCCAGTAACTTTCTGGGACTCAGAACCTGCTCCTCCCTTTTCTAGGAAGTTTTTTTGAGTCAAAATTTGCATGTTGGAAAAAAGGTCAGGAAGCTCACAGAGAGCAGTGTTCCTGCACTCATTAACTGGGTTCTGGAAAATAAAGACTAAAACCTGGAGGGATATCTACTGCAGGTGAAGTTAGCATAAACTGGTGCTAAATAGTCTGCACTCTGCAATTTGTATTCAGAAAAGCTAATCTGGTACCATCAAGAAAGAGCAAGGTCTCACCTCCCCATGACCAAGACAAGATCTGTAACATGGACAGCCATTTCTAAGAGATAAAATGGACAGGCTGTTGGCAACATGAAAGCAGTCTCAGGATCCACTGTTCACTGCTCTAAAACAGAATCATTCTGGGTCTTCTCAGCTGGTGAAAGCTGACAACTTTGAGAGACAGAAACTGTGGACTCAGAAGTAGCAGTAAGAAAAATGCAATTATCTGGGCATAGCAGAGCAGGTTGTTGGAAGAAATGGGCAGCAAGGGGCAGGTGAAGAAGTCCGAGGGGATGGTAAATGGAGACCTAGTCCAAGGTCTAGGTCCTCTAGACCTAGTTTCCATTTTAGTCTGAAACTACAGTTTCAGTCTGAAAAGCAAGGTTGACTGGGAACTGACTCATGGGCCTTCTGGGGAGTCACACATGGTTACCTTGTTCACTGACTTCAAACAGAACTTGAACCCGGTCTGAAGCACATCACCCCATGGGGAAAACAAAAGCTGGCACTGATCTCATACAAACATTTTCCCCTTAGCCTATCACATCTCCTCCTAGAGTTCCAGAATCACTCCAGGGCATGCAAAACCCTTCACAAACCTCATTGACTGATCCCTCACCCCAGCACACCACTGAATCAACACCAAGAAAGGGATTTGATCCCAAATGAGGAGAGAGCAGGTGAAAAGAGAGCCCATCTCAAACCTCTCTCACCTCATTCCTGAGGAGATGGGAAACAATCAGTGCTTCCTTCTCCTTTCCTCTCTCCTGCTGGCTGAGAAGTGGAGGCAGATAAAAGCAGACAAGCTGGGTGGTGGTCATCTCAGTTACTCAAGCTTCTTTGACAAGCTTCTGCTAGGATCATGCTGTCTACCAATCACAGCTCCCTTGTTATCTGCAGAGTGCTCAGGCATAGTTCTGTGTGGTATACCCAAGTGTTTTCCTCACCTGTTCTGCAACCCTCCTTGTTACACAGTGTGAGCTGTGCACAGTCCTATCTCAAACAGGTACCAGAATTGGTAGCCCCCTGTGGAAAAGGCCTTGGGCAACCTTCAGGAGACTCCCCACTCTCTTTTTAATGCAAACACCACTGCATCTGCTCTTTCACACAGCCCCAAGATGTGGTGCCTCCTCATGCTGCTCTGCTCCCAAGGAATTTTCTATACAGCAGGATTCACAATACTCTCCACTCTGAATTCAGACAGAAGCCAGTACTGGAAGACTCGCAACCCTGAAAGCTTTATGAATGTTGTAAGTTGGGTCATCTTCTCTTCCTTTCTTTCTAAATTGTCTCTCCCGCTACCACCACCACCACCCCATCACTAACAGTCCCTGTCAGGAGGCTAAAAGTAGAATCCCTTCAAAGGGGTCACTTCAGTACTGTAATAGGTAGCACCTGATGCTATTTCACCCTTCAAGAAGAAAACTTGATGCTCCTATCCAAAAAGTCTGAGCTGTCAGAGAGAATGCCTTTGCAGTGAAGGCAAAGGTAGGTTTCTAGTCTCAAGGGAAACAAAGTCATCCCCTTCTGTACCAACCTGTTTGCTCAGTACGGTGACAAGGGAGGTTGAACCTCCTCTTCAAATGGCAGATTCTTACAACACAAAGTAATCCAAGACCCCTTGCTCTGAATCACTAAAGATTTCCTCACAGTACATGCCAAAGAAGGTGTCTGTGCTCTCATGCGTTTCTTAGTGACAAGAGGTTGATCCTTGTTTGCCTTGCATTCATGTCTTGCCTAATCACACTTTGGCAAGAAAGGACTCATTACATATGAAAATCCACAGCTTTTGGCATTCTCTCATACAGATACTGCTACTTATTTAATCTGTAGAAAGGTATGATCTGTGTCAGCCTTGCCTTGACAAGCTATCTCCCAAACTGCTAGTCAGTACAGTTCTGCTTTGGCCCGTGATATGCAGTCAAATACCAGACAACTAGCACCCAAGCAGGTCTGAAGACAACTTTGATGTATCTTTTTACAGGACTTGTAATATTTATTCTCAGCTGTGGTCACTGTGGCCAGGGTCCTTGCACTACCCTCACAGAACAGCCCATATCTACACTGCTCAGCTTGGTTACCCTCCAGAACAGGACAGCTTGCACGTTAACAAGCTCTCCTTTGGTTTCCACAGAGTGAAATTATCAGGTATCATGGATACGCCAGTGAGGAATATGAAGTTACAACAGAGGATGGATACATTCTTGGTGTCTTCAGAATCCCTGCTGGGAGGAACAGCCAAAATACAGGTGCGATACAGTTACAGGACACAAGGAATATCTGAGAGCCAACTCTTACATGGGCTCCCCCATCTTTTACCTTTGCACATGCAATGGCATGTTCCATGCCTTTCAACCTCAGCGGGAGCACCTAGCCAGGAATGTGGTCTGAATTCTTAATTAATCTGAAGTTCACCATTCAGTGTCTCTGTCCTTGCTTTAGACTTTTCTAACAGTTTTGCCATATCCTTTTTTTTTGGGCTGGGCGAGGGTTTGGTAGACTGAATTTGGGGATGCCTTGCATTAACAACCTAAGTAATACACATTTAAAATTGAAGTCTGACAAGAAAGCTTCTCAGGTTATGAATATGAATAATGATTCTCAATCTTCTGGAGGTAGATATTCTTAAGGAAAATTATAAGAAAACAGGTCACCAATGAAAAGCAAATGCATTCCATCTATTTAATCACATTTACTAAATGGAATACAAACTTCTACCTGGAATTCAAGGCACCCTAGATACTGCTGCTTTGTATATTATATTACTTACTGTTAGAATTACAGAATAATTTATTTCGGATGCCTCCTCCTGTTTGGATCTCCTCCTTTGGAGATCATCTAGACCAGCATCACTCTCAAAGAAAGGTTAAGCAAAGTTAGATCAGGGGCCTCTCAGCCCTGCTCAGTTGGTTACTGAATAGACCTAAGGGTAGATATGATTCTCTGGATGAATTATTCTTTGTCTTCTATACACTGTTAATTCCTTCAGCAGTTTTCAGCTGTGGGTAGATGGTCTCAATATAGGGACCTGTGAGCTGGCTTTCCAGTGCAAGAGGAGGTGCATTAAATTCTCCTTATGGAATTCTGTATTTTCCAGTCCTGTCATGAAGTGGTTACGAAATGTCATGAAACAGTTCCTGCTTGCATGAAACAAGTCCTTAAGGGTTTCTTAGATCAACATTTATGCATAGTTCTCCTGGGAGCTTCTTGAAGAAGGAAAGATATAAAACTTCTTACAAACTAAACTCTACACCCCAATCTTAAATAGACATTAACTACTGCTTCAATATAACAATACTTTCATCTTTTCCAGGGCAAAAGCCTGTAGTTTTCCTACAGCATGCTTTTCTAGGAGACGCTACCCACTGGATTTCTAACATGCCCAACAACAGCTTGGGCTTCGTCCTCGCAGATGCTGGCTACGATGTCTGGATGGGAAACAGCCGAGGGAACACTTGGTCTTTAAAACACAAGACCCTTAATCCCTGCCAGAAAGCATTCTGGCAGTTCAGGTACTCTGTAGAGAGAGAATTACTCAAGGCAGAAACTCTGAGGGGACTAGGTAGCATCAGCCTGATGGTTTTTACCTAAACCAGCAACAGAACAGGGTCTACACCAACCAAGGAGAGAAAAGAACCAGATGAGCAAGGATGGTAACTACTACTCAGAGCTGGGAGCTTTGGCTGGGGAAGGGATTTCAGACACTGGGAAATAAGATGGGATGCTGAGGAAAACAGAGACAGCACAGTGAGAATAGCAAGAACCTCAGGTGGAACAGGCTGAGGAGCCTTGTCTGGGAATCTCTGATCTCTCACAGCTGAATTCAACCAAGAGAGAAATTTGGTTTTTAACCCATGCTAATGAAAAAAAAATGGTTAAATTCAATTCCCCAGGGGCTGCAGCTGACAGGTGAAACTGGCTCCTACTCTGCACAGAGCACAAGGTATCAGGCATCCTGGCAGTACAGTTGTGTCCCTCTACCCCCTTCTCTAACTCAAGTAAGAATGCAGACAAACTGTGCAACCTTGTCTTTCAAGGGGTCCTGCTTGGTGCAGTGAACAAAATTGACATTCAGTAACTCACACTGTGGCAGCTGAATTGTCTGCTAGCTTTTTGTGTTTCTTCCCTGTAGCTTTGATGAAATGGGTAAATATGATATTCCAGCAGAGCTGTACTTCATCATGAATAAAACTGGACAGGAGGATTTATACTATGTTGGTCACTCTGAAGGCTCAACAGTAGGTAATGTCATGATTCACAACCATTTGTGTTCCTACCAGATCAGAAGGTGGGTCTCCCCATTGATGCAGTTGTTTTTCCTGTTCGTGGAGAGCCAGCAAACGTAGAAGTGCCCTCTGAGTTGAGATCTGAAAAATATGCCAAGCATTTCTAAAAACAGCTTTGGTTACCCTTAACAAGCAAAGAAACCTAGTAACAGAACCAAATATAGTTTATCCTCTTAAATAATTAGAGACAGAGAAGTGGTTATTTGCTGGGTACTTCAGGTACTGGCACTGGGTATTCTCAGCAACAGGAATTTTCATTAAATTCATCTTTTGTATTAAGACATATAATTATTTTCCTTGTGAACAGGAAGGAAAAGCTAACAAGATAGAACAGCACATATAGTACATAATTTCAAATAACTGAAGACAAGGAAAAAGAACCTCAACATTACTAAGTCATGCAACTTACAATTTAAATCGCAGTTCATGAGTGGCTATAACTGGGTACGTTACTGTTTAAAAACATATTGCCACAGACTGAAAATTAGGAAAGAAAATCATTAGTAACTACCTTTCTCTTAGTGGCAGTCTTTAGTTAGCATAAACTCACTTCAGGGCCTCTGAATGCAACTAACTTTCTTTTACCATCAGCTGAAAGTTCCTGATGTTTATTATTCATGTGAGATCCATGAATGGACATTGATTAGGAATGAGCAGCTGCCAGTTCATTAGTGTAAACAACACCAAAAAAAAGAGTAAATGAGGGAAAATCACATATTGTCACAGCTCCAGATCTGTTCTTTCTTTTCCTCTCATAGCAGTATTTAAAGACCCTCATGGCAAAACAAACTAACCATCTAGGCTATCTTCAGCTGCCTTTGATGCAACCAGATGAAAACACTCAAAGCTCCCAGTATTTAGCTAAATATTCTAGTTTCATGGAAGCATAAACATACACAGACCTTTAAAGACTATAATCTGAAAAGCTGATTTTTTACAAGGATTTTTTGAACTTCAATCTCATTGACATGTTGCATACAAAAACTGTTCTGATAAAGGCAGTGTCCAGACATGCTCTAAACCTCAGAATGAAATTTGCCTCCCAGATAAAACTAACTTAAGAACTTAGCTTCAACAGTTGCCTTAGATAAATATGCAACACAGACAAATGTGAACAGCACACAGTGGGCTACAAATCTAGTCTAACTTCTTGTTTGCTACCTACTGCTTATTTATTTATTTTGCCTGCAGATGTCTTCACTATCTCAAGCTGTCTCTTCTGTGTTTGCAGCCTTCATAGCATTTTCTACGTACCCTGAGCTGGCTAAACGGGTGAAAAGGTTCTGTGCTCTGGGCCCAGTAACCACATGTCCACATGCTACAAGCCCTCTGGTTAAGATAACAAATGTTCCTGAACCACTGCTCAAGGTATGTCCTTTTTCCTTCTGAGAGGGCCAATGCCTGACTTACCTTCACTGGGTTCACTCAACCTGAGATGAAGTGTTCCCAAACAAGTAATAAGCTGATACTGAGCTTGGGATGAATCAAGTTCTCTTGAAAAATCTGTTTCCAAACTCTGCGGGGAAAACTCTAAAGGTAGGGCTTGTAGCAGCGGGTCCCCATCAAGTAGAAGTCTTGTGAACCTCTGTTTCATCATAGGGCTCTTGCTGTTAACTAATATTTGGTGGCCTCATGCAGGAGGAACTAAACCAGAGCTGCACTAACAGCTGTGACAATCTCTGGGACTTCAGACATGTGTGAGCATTGAGTCCACTGCACTAGAAATAGAAGGATGGCTTCCTCCAGGACTGATGCCAGTAGTACGAAGAAGGAAGGATATGTGATGCACTATGGGGAAGAAGGTGTTTTAAGGGGTTCTGGGAGAGAAAGCTCTTTCAGCAATCTTTGAACACTGAGTTAGGAGGCTAGGCTATTAACAACATTTTTCTGCATAAAATGTTCCTGTAATTAGACAAAAAAGTGCTGTGCTTTTCCCTTCCCTCAGTTCGTATTTGGCAACAAGGGATCCCTGCACCAAATCAAATCTCTGAGAGGACCTGTGACACAGTTATGTACAAGCTTGGATAAGTTTTGTGGCCGTGTACTCTGTTACATAGCTGGAGGCAACATAAAAAATCTGAACACGGTAAGTATATTCCAGAACACCTACTTTAAGTAAAACTTAGGTGATTTATGCACTCTGTCCTCACCTAGTAACTGTCATGCATGTAAATGTACATAGACCACAACATAGTGCTCAGCAGACTGAAAGAATGCCAGGACATTGTGTGGTGTGAACAGTGCCAAACACAACTAGAGCTGATGGTAGATGGGACTAAAAATTAGGCCCATTCCAATCCCAGAAAGAAAGGCCTGGATTCACTCTAGAGCTGTATTGCACATGTCAAGAGATGTGCCCTCTTTTGAGGCTAAGCTGACCAAATTTTGGCTGTACACAGATGCTCTTTAGAAAGAGCTAACGGATAATGAAGTCAGACTTCTTGGTAATCCCGTTCCCAGTTTCCTTCCTTTAGCATGCAAACACCAGGGTCCTCTGAACACTGGATAATTTAAGGAGAGGAAAAACCTAATTTTTCTGCTTTTCAGACTACTTGCACCAGAACTCGGTCCTAAAGAACTACTGCAAGGGGCACTGTCCATAAAACTGGGCCACAACATGTAGAGCTGCAGAAAGTCCTTGCACTATGCCTGAGGAGTGAAACACAAAGACTAGTGTGTAAGTCAGAGGGGACAGGAGAGACAGGAAAGTTATCCCTATGCTTGACAACACATGGACACTGTAGTGTGTCGTAAATCCTCTTTACAGTGGTCAAAGTATGCAGAAGCTGGTCTATGTAATGTTTATTACTGTGGTATCTGTAAAGACTGGGGCCTATTTTTCTCCATCTGTAACCACACGTAAAAGCACATACAGGAAAGCAGCGAGAATCAGAGGTTCAGTGCAAAAGCAACTAAAAGGCAATGCAGCCCTTGTGAATTGCAGAGCTAAATCATCAAGAATCTTTGCTGACTTGGATTAAGACACTAATGTGGTTCTCGGGGCAAGATAACAAATCTGGGGAGGAATCTGGGGGGATGGAACTGGAACATCTCCTGAACAGAACTATAAAAATGCAAGCAGAAGAAAAAGCAATCTGTTTTGCAAGCTGGCTTCCTTAGTACTAGAAGTAAAGTGAAGAGAAAAACAAATCTTCAAAAGACTGACACATGCATAGGAGTTTGATGTGAGGTCAGGAATCCACTGTAAAAGGACTGCAAGGTTTTTTCCTACTGTTGCTGAACCACAGGATCCCACAGTTGTACTATCTTCATGGGACAAACTCACTTTCATGGAGAAAGCATGCAGACGCATACTATTAACCAGCTATTCCTAAGTCTTCTGCTCAGTTTTCTGCCCGATATTTGAAGAATATCCTATTAAAATGGGGTTTTAACACAGCAGCAGTATGTTGCTTAGGTCCTTCACAGCTTTATTCTGGCACAGCAATGGATCCCTGCCTTTATAACACTTCTGCTTTCTCTCCAGAGTCGAATAAACACATATGTAGGACATTCGCCTGCTGGAACATCAGTGCAGGACATTCTTCATTGGCATCAGGTATAACTGCATATTGAGAAATAAACAGACTCTTACTACTGCTTTTTATGCAG